TGTTTATTATTTATTTGCTTACTACAAAAAAAGGTCCCCCAAGTTCCCCTGCTGCGGATTGGGGGTGGGTGGGGTGGGGTAGTGGGGGGTGGTGGTGATCATTTATTGTGTATGAAAAAAGAAGGAAAGAAAGAAAGGAAAAAAAAGGGGGGGGGGGGGGGGAAAAAAAAATCATCCCCAAGTACAACAAGAGACGAACAGTTAGTGCTGATTTTCATTTGCATAAATTTTCATACATTTTGGTGAAAATAATAGCGGAGCCGAGCACAGCTCCTGCTCAGTCGAGGCAGAGGGAAGAAAATCTCAGGGAGCACCGAGTCGTAGGAAAAAGACACACAGATAACCGTTTCCAGGCTGCACGCGAGCAACGGTGAAGCTTATTTATTACCCCCCACCTCACACACACAACACCACCCAACACACACTCACACACACCGACACCGACCATCACTGGCACCAGCTCCACTTTTCTCGGATACGAGGTAAGTCAATAATCATCGATAACCTTTGCTTATTTATTTATTTGTTTGTTTATTTTTTGCGCACGAGGGATGTTTTGGAGTTTATCGCCTTCTTGTTCTTGTTCTTCTCGCTCGTGGCTTGCTCTCTTTCCCCCACCTCCACTACCACCTTGTCTGTCCTTTAAACGACATTTCAGCCTGCACTCGTATCCTCCTCTTCTTCTTCTTCTTCTTCTTCTTCTTCTTCTTCTTCTTCTTCTTCTTCTTGTTTTTGGTTTCCTCTCTCCTGAATGCGTAAAAATCAATATGCTCGCCCCAGCCATCCCGTCTCTTTCTTTCCTTTCTTTTTCTCTTTTTTATTATTATTTTTTTTTAATTAAATATATATATAAATATCGGGCAGATGCTGTGCTGCTTTGTAGCGAATGTCCACCGGAGAAAAGTGCAATCAATCACATTTTTAAGCAGGGAGAGAGAGAGAGAGAGTGGAAACCCCTCAGTGGAATCCTCCAGAGAGTTCGCGTAGGCAAGTGCAGTATGAAAATGGGTTTTAATACGAATCGATCTTCCACTGCTGTGGAGTTTGTTTAAAGTTTAGGAGAGAGGAGAGAAAAGGGCTTAAAAATAGCGCGGATTTGAATGTGGATGACTTCAGATTTTGTCGTGTGTGTTTTGGTTTTTGGAGATCTTCCAGTGAGCGTCAAGAAAAGTTTTCTTTCTTTCTTTCTTTCTTTCTTTTCTTTTCTTTTTTTTTAATAAAGGCAAAGAGAGGAGTGGGCACAGGGAATAAGTTTGTGTTATATTTTACAGTCGAAGTTGATTTGAGGAGCTGCTGAGTGTGACTTTTTTTTTCTTTTCTTTTTCTCACGGGTTAAAAAACCTCTTTCCCTTCATTGATTCAGGGGGCAGAGCATTTCTGAGCCCAGCGCTTGGTAGCCATGGTGAGCCCAATAAAAGAGGGGGAACACTGGTCGCATTAAGCTGTATGTTTGTGCATTGGAGTCGAGATGAAAAGGGGCTCGGTGTGTCCCGGGCCAGCAGCACCGGTGCTGCCCGCTCCAAGCGGGAGGAGAGGGGCAAACAAACCCGCTTGATTTGTCTGTTATTCCTTTTTAATTATCGCCTTCTAACGATGTTTTCTCATTTATGACTCATCTCAGATATGCGCAGAAGTTAACTTTAAATTAATTAGAACAAAAATCAACACCAGATTCTTGACTCTTCATGATTTTTTTTAATGTAAATAATTTTTGTAATTTTTAAAATAAATTTTCGTGTATTTGAGCTGCATTAAAGGCCTCTCCACCTCTCGGCGCTCCGGTCGGTGCTGAGGTGGAGGAAACGGTTTGCAAGTCGTTGTTGGCCTCGTTGATTGAGAATGATGAAGCTGCCGCCAGGTGTCGCGCTCACTCATGGTGCAGCTTACACTGCAACCCCCCTCCAAAAAAACCTGCCTCTTTAATATTTGTGGGCTTTATTTGAATTATTTAAGAGTTTATTTCATTGAATCACAAACCTAGTTAGCTGATTTTACCCCCCCCCCCCCCCCCCCTAAAAAAAAAAAGAAAAAAAAAGAAAATTGTAATTCTGCAAGAAAAAAATGGACCCTTTTACCCTCACCTTGCTGTGTGCCAGTGCATTTTTTCAGCTCTCCCCCTTCTGTTTTTTAAAGTATGAGTGTCTGAATGGCATGAAATGGGCTTTACGTACATGTATACTTTCTTGCAGTGCGTAGGTGCGTTCCCACTTTATGGCATGAATCGATGGCTGAACGGGGAAGATTGGCAATTAAGATATCGCCCGCCCACGGCAGGAAAAGTGACTGATTTCTGTGGGTCACTGCAACAAAGATGTGGTGCTCATTTTTGAAAAACAGGTGCAAACACACCATATTATATATATAATGAAATGAAACATATATATATATATATATATATATATATATATATAATATATTTCTAAATATGTCTTAGACCTCCGCGTAAAACTTGAGCTTTCTAAGGAATGCTGTCTGTATCGATCCGGGACGGGAGCCTATCAGCGAGAGCGCAGTCCTGCACGGTTCATATGCATAGTGGTTCAGCCGCCATCTGCAGCCGCCTGAGCCATGAGTCAGAGCCATATGAAGCAGACGAGGACGCGGGGACATTAATAATTATTAGCAAAGTCAAAGGCTCTTTCTTGCAATTCCTCCCTCCCCATATTGCTCTACCGGCCATTTAGTATCCAGTCTTCATCATCCCCCTCTTCACCACAAGCAGCAGCAGCAGCAGCAGCAGCAAAAGCACTGGATGTTATCACTCTGCGTTATGCACCCGTTCTGACAGTGATGGTTATTGGTAGCAGGAAGCCAAGTTGCACAGATCGCCAGGAGCAACATTTTAAAGTTGATTTAATTCAGAGTATACTTGCTGCACCTGCACTACACAACAAAAAAACACTAAATAAGTGTCACTCTGTCCCCCTAGAAACCCCTCACATATCCAGAGGTGGAGCCATTCAAATATCGTTAGTATCGATACCAACGTTGGTATTGGCATCAGATCATAGCAGCGCCATAGGGTTCAGATTTTGCTTTTATCACCTAAGTTCAGTATGTAGCCCGCTGAATTGTGTTAAATACATAATTATTTTGGAAATGTAAAAATCACAGTGACTTAGTAGTCATTGAAATGTGTTCAGAATTTAAAAATCATGACACATTGCTCTCCTCTAAATAAGCTGCCTTTATAGGTAAAAGATATCGGTATTGGTATCGGCAATACTGTCCTTATTTTTGGTGTTTTTTGTTTTGTTTCTCCTCTAAATAAGCTGCCTTTATAGGTAAAAGATATCGGTATTGGTATCGGCAATACTGTCCCTGTATTTACTTCGTATCAGGTTGATGTCAGAATTTGCAGTATCGCCGAGTTTGGTCACTCTGGCTCTACTTTCTGCATCCGCCGGTTTATTGGGGAGGCACTCCACCACCACAAGTTCCAACATTCAGATTATATTGATGCATTTCCCGCCATTTTAATTATGCTGCCATAAGTTGCCTATGGGCACCCATAATTTATCCCCCACTAATCCCCACGGGACATACGTTGAGTGCGTCCCACGTCGGGGGCCAAACGTTGATTTAAAGCCGAATCCAACTTGGAGCACTTAAATGATAATGTAGCTCCTGTACCGCTAATTAAATGGGCCACACTGAGTCTAAGCATTAAACATGCCTTCAATTTCAGACATGAATGGGATTTTTTTTCCTCCACACACACATACTTCAGCCATTCAAATGAGACAGAGGCTCTTTATTAATATTCTATTATTAAAGGCCACCGTAGAGTTATATTGCACTACACGGGGCTGGTAATTGCCCTGTATTAGTCGGTGAAAGCACTATAGGCCTACAGCTTGCAAATAGGCCAACGCGGAGGTAAAGATTATATGTTTAGTGTTATCGCAGGACTCACTCAGTAGTGATGCTTGGTGCTCATTTCAAACAAGAGTCCTGGCTCAGGCGTTGCATCAGCAGGGCCGGGTATTGATTTCAGATTGGAAATCAGCAGGGATGTTATAATTTGGTGAAAAATAGAGATGGCTGTGCTTCTTTTTTTTAAAGAGAGGATATAAATATATATATAAGTAATTATTTCTATGTGTTTTTGACAATGAATTAAAAAAATCACTTTCAATTAGGCAAAAAATAACTAAGTTTTAAGTTGAGCAAGAGCAACAGATTGTAATTAAAAGGATTTAATTTAAAAACAAAGGTCAAAAGTTGCACTGAGGCTGAGCGAATATGGAATAAGGTGAAGGCGGGCACATGTAGGAGGAAATAAAAGAGAGAGGAGGTGAGTGAGGGGTAAAGGTGCGTGTGTGCTCCAGCTTTGTCCCAGTCTATCCCCACCCCTCACTGGGTGCCACACAGTCATCCATCCCCCTCTCCCTTTCCTGCACCACACATACAGATGCAAAACATCAGGAGTCGAATCTAGGATAAAGAGATTCGTACCGACGATAA